ACCAGAACCCCCCCTCCACCCGGTATAGCCACATCCAGCCCAGGGCAGCACACCCCTGGGACCACTTTGTGTCCCCCCCTCAGTCCTGCCTGCAGGACCACATTTGCCACTGGCTGGGGCACAGGTCTGGGTCAGTACCAACAGGAGCATCCATATCCTCTGCTCAGCTCCTGTTTTAATTGCAGTGACCCCCCCGGGCTGAGCTGAGCCTTGCAGCAGTGCTGGGCTGCAGCTGTGACATTGCTCAGCCTGACCCCCACCCCCCCTTGACACTCACCTCTGGCTCTTTATTAAAGTAATCACGGGGTGACAGAGGGCAGAGGAGGCTCAGCATCCCAGGAGGCCTGAAAAAGTTGCCTCTTCACATCCTGTGGTCTTGAGAAGTCTTTGCAAACACCCCCTGCTCCTCCCAGCGCCCTTGAGCCTCCATCACCGCCCAGTAGAGCAACCACCCCTGGCACCAGCATCTCAGCCTCACAAGCAAAGGTGCCAAAACAGCTTCAGCATCATTTTTCATGTTCAGTGCATATTGGGAAGTGGTGGGAAAGATGAAGGATGCAGAAGAAAAGGCTGCATCAGCAGGACGAGGGCCATGGTGATGTTAAGTGACAGCTTCCAGCTTCACGGACACCTGCGGCGCCGGGAACGCGCACAGGGATGGCTTCATCCCGCTGCTCAGCACCCACCAGAGGGGTCCTGGCAGGGCTGGGGGCTTTGAACAGACACTGATGGATTTACACATGGGCTGGGACAAGCTGAAGGCAGCGGGTGAGACGAGCCAGAGGAACCATGTGCTGTTTCCAAAAGATGTGATGTATGTGTTGCCACAAACAGGGACCAGAGGCTTCTGCTGGTGAGGACACAGGAGCTGCTGGGGCCTCAGGATGGGCAGCACTTCTGGCTGAGGTGTTCACAGGTGACCAGGTGGGATTGGCACTTCCCAGAGACCAATTCTTGTGATGCTCCCAGTTTGTCTTCTCCATGGCAGAGCCTTGCTGTGATGGGGCTCAGAGGGACACTGTGGGACTGGGCCTGCAGAACCTTCCCTCACTGCCAGCGCTGCAGCAGCACAGGCTGGTGCTCCCACTTTTCTCTGGTTTTAACCCATTTTTCTGGGTTGGTGCTTCTGCAGGAGCCTGTCTCTGCCCTGTGAGCTCAGCGTGTCCAGGGGAGGCAGAGCGAGGGGGAGATAAATATTTCAGCCTTGCCTTTGATGAAGGGAAGGAAATCCTTTTTACTTAAGAGGGGGTGATGCATATTTGATGAGGAGAGAAGGAGCAAGGCAGGGCTGAGAGCCTGCAGGTGGCGGGTGCAGGCAGCATCCCGGTGCAGGAGGCAAGGAGGAGGCTCCCACATCCCTGCCTGCACCCAGTGGGTGCACAGGTGAAGCACAAGGAGGGACTGTGCACAAGAGATGATGAGGATGGAGCAGGAGAACAGGGAGGACACAGAACTTCCAGCACCCACCAGCCCAGTTTCCAGCTCCCTGGGGTTGAGGCCAGTGGGCAGCAGGCACCGAGGGCTCCTCCAACACCTTGAGCAACCACTGAGCTGTGCTGAGGCTCAGCCAACAGAGACGTGTCCCACACGCTTCCCTGGGCACTGCTCAGGCAATTGGCCTGTTTACAATCGCGGGTCAAAGCCGATTAAGAAGGAGCATCGGAGCCGCTTCCGCTGCCCTGGCAGCGCGGGAGCCAACGGGAAAATCAGCTCTGGGCCCCTGTCCAGCCACGCCATCCCCCTCTCCCTGCAAGCCTGATGAAAGCCCCCTTAAACAGGCTTAACCACAGCTTCTCAAGCGCTCAACCCCGGGATAAAAATTAAGGCTCTAATTCTAGAAGGTAAGTACAGCAGGATCAGAGCCGCGCCGGGGAGCGTTGCCGCAGCCTGGGCCAGGAACCCACAGCCCCAAAAATGCCTGCCTGGTGAAGGGCAAACCGGCCTGAAGCTCACAAACTGCATCTCCTCTGCATGCCAGGATGAATCCCTGCACATTCAGGAGGCTGTGAAGGAGCATCCCCGCAGTGAAGCAAAGGATGGCAGCCTCCTGGCTCAGCAGCACAGCCCGAGCCTGGAGTGCCTGATCAGGGTGAATGGGCCTGGAGGTTCAGCCCAGCCCCAAAACCAGGGTGTTCTGACCCCTTGGTTGCCAGCACACGGGGCAGAGCTTCTTGAATCAGAGTGCCCCATCCTGCGGCCACCATGGCCATGGGAGTGTGGCATTTGGTGGCCACTGGCAGGCTGGCTCAGTCAGGTTTCATGCAATTAATCCAGGGGTGCTTGATTAAGTTCAAATGGTCAGACCTGAAACTATGGATGAGAGGGGGTGAAGCACACAGGGCACACTGTGCTGGTAAGCAGGTGGGAGAGGAAAAGGGAAAGGTTTGGAGGAGAAAAGCTGTGCTGAGCCTCAAGGATCTGCCTGGGATGTGGGGACTCAGCAGGAGTCAGGGCAGTCAATATCCCACACTTAATTTCCCTGGGGTGACTAATGAGTCCATCACAGGGAAAATGCCTGATAACTGGGAGGAGAGAGCAGGGACCTGGGAGTTCACAGGGCACTGAGTGTCCCACCACCTGCAGGATGGTTTGGACTGACCTGGGCAGTATGTGCTGCAGGGACAGAGCTTGAGTCGTGTCATCCATCCATCCACCTGTCCATCCATCCGTACCTCCACTCCCATGTGCAGAGCACAGGCTGTTTCCTGCTCACAGCCTGGAGCCGGGTGCAGCGTTCCCACCATTCCCACGGCACCAGCCACTTTCCTACAGGAGCTTACTGGGGGTTTCCTGAGCTCTGCTCTGCTTTCCTGGTGGAGAAACCAGTGATGTGTTTTATCTGAACCAACTCACCCATCCCCAGGAGTCTGATAAGGCATTTCCCAAGGGACCAGCTCACCAGCATCCCTGTGTAATTGCTGGGTTAAACAGGGCTTAGCCTGTGTCTAAGGAGGGGTCAGCAGGGTGGGGAGCACGGGCTGCTTGGGGTGAGCACCCCCACAACTGACACTCCCCGTGTCCCTCCCCAGGTGTTCCAGCGGCGGGAGGACGGCTCAGTGAACTTTTTCCGTGGCTGGGAAGCCTACAGGGATGGCTTTGGGAAGCTGACAGGAGAGCACTGGTTGGGTACGTGGGGCTGGCAGTGCCCACTCCTGGGCTGGTTGGCAAAGCCTGGGCCTTCCCTCAGGAGCTCAGGGGTTTCCTTTGCAAAAGAAAAGACCCCAAGATGCAGAATCAATCACAGAATCACAGAATCTTAGGGGTTGGAAGGGACTTTAAAAGATCATCCTGTCCAACCCCCCTGCCAGAGCAGGGGCACCTAGAGCACATCACACAGGAACGTGTCCAGGGGGGTTTGAATGTCTCCAGAGAAGGAGACTCCACAGCCTCTCTGGGCAGCCTG